CGCATTTACATACACTTCAAACCTAGGTTTCAGGTCGCCCAGGTGTTGACAATGAGGTGGGGTTCATCGGTTGTCCCTGTGCATTTGGTTCCCCTTTCATCGCAACTACGTACCTCTTTGTCCTGTCTTGTCTTCTCTTCGTGTCTTCATCCTTGCCTTTTGTCTTTGCTGCGTGCACAGGTGCGCATTGTCCTTACCTTAGTTTTTCTCGCCGCCTTTCGGGGAGGCGTGTGTGTGTGTGTGTGTGCCCCTTGTAGTCACAGGGATCCACTCGGATTGTGCTGATTGCGTTTTAATTTTTTGTTGAGCAGGGGGACGCGGCGCCAGATTGCAGACCGTGTCTAATAAAGCTTTGCAATCTGGTGGGATATCCAGCTTGGCCAGCTGGACGTACCTGCAAACTTTAATCCTTTGGTAGAGTGCTAATGCGTCTGCAGCCACGCACGGACCGTCGTCACCTTGTCGAGTTTCCGCAGTTCGAGCTCGTGGACTTTGGAGTTTCCTTGGGAGGTTCTTCAGCTACCGCCTAACCTGAACCCTTAGGCGTTGAAACCTAGGTGGGCGTGTGGCGTGTGGCATTCGGGTTGCGTGTGTGTGCGTGTGCGTGCGCGCGGCTCCCCGCCCCGATGAGCCTCACAAGCACGCGCCATGCTGGAGAGAAAGGTGACGAAGTTTGCCAGGGCTGGGGCTTGAGCCCGGGCGTTCTTTGGAGGGCGTGTTTCGGGGCGCTCATTCGTGGGGCGGCGCGTCCTCCAGCCCACAGCTGCCCCACCAAGCCCCCATGCATAAAAACGGCCTGTTTTGTCAACTTTGGGGCTGTCTTGGCTCAGGTTCCCCTTCGAAAAACAGCCTGCGTCGATCCGTTTGGTTGCTTTTGGCCCCGGCTCTTCTTCGCGGGGCGCGTGGGTGGCCACATGCAAAAATACGGCCCAAGTCGGCCATCTAATTGTTTTTAGCGCACGCTCTCCTTCGGGGCAATGCGCCGGGCCCGTGTCTGGCGCGCGCGACACGAACAGGCGAGCAGTGGTTTGTTCTATGCGTTGGTTTGTGTAGTATTGAATTCAAAGAAAGCGCAACTCTGACAAGTGTGTGTGTGTAACCCTTGTAGTCGCAGGGCTTCTTTTGAAGTTTGATGGATGACACTCACAAATCTTGAAGTGTACCATGTTGTTGCAGTTGAAAGGATTGATACGCACAAATCTTGAAGTGTACCATGTTGTTGCAGTTGAAAGGAATGACACGCACAAATCTTGCAGTGTACCACGTTGTTGCAGTTGAAAGGAATGACGCGCACAAATCTTGATGTTTTTCATAATGTTGCAGTGCAACCTTTGGAGTCACAATCGTGTGTGTTTTCTTTTTTCGCTGCCTTGTGTCTTATGGGCCCTCTAACCTATTGCGCAGGCCTCCAACCTTGTCGCTATGGCCTCTTTCTAAAATGTTGCAGTGCAACCTTTGGAGTCACAATCCGTTTTCGGTTTTGTTTTGTGTGTGTTTTCTTTTTTCGCTGCCTTGTGTCTTATGGGCCCTCTAACCTATTGCGCAGGCCTCCAACCTTGTCGCTATGGCCTCTTTCTATTTGTGGTACCTTTCTAGTAGTTGGCTTGCCGGTTGCCCTTAGGGCCGGCGCGTCCACTCTGCTTGGCTGGATGCTTTCCTATCCAGTCAGCAGAGTTGGGGTGGGCATAGCTGCTGCTTGCTGCTTGCTGCTGCTTGCTGTTGCTTGGGCCTCCAAACTTAGGCGCTGACCTCCAACTTCTAGCGTCGGCCTCTACTTTAACTTTAACTTACCTCGTTTTCAAAGGTTTTTACTTACTTACCTCGTTTCCTAAGGTTTTTTAACCTAGGCCGGCGAGTGGATATCCATAAGTGTGTGTCAACCCCTGTACCTAAGGGTTCCACCTTGTTTTT